TTTTGTAACATTATACACTCTCAAATGTGCCTTATCACTTTTAATTTTTTTTTTTTTTTTTTTGAGGGGAACAAAATTGCTTCGTGTTTAGTTATAGGCTGGCCAATTGAGAGTGAATCTACATAGAGTTTTAGAATGATTGTAATGACCTCACACTGAATGCTTTCTTTTTCAGCTGACATCCTGCTCTTCAGTGTACCGCCCATCTATGAGAAAAACAAGGTTAGAGTTATATATTTTAGTTGCAAATCATGCATTGTGTGTTTCAAAAAAGCATTTATTGTGGAGGTCCAAATAAGAGATTATATAACAATAACATCAATAATAATAATAAGAAGAAATATAGCTGCAAGTAGCAATTAAGGGGCCAAGCACTACAGAAGCAAGCATCAGACCAACTGCAGCAATGAGTAATTGAAGCCATTTTAAGATGATTTTTGTCAAAATGGCTGAAAAATCATAAATACAACCAATAGTAAAATGATTTAATGGGTTATTACTTTTGACCAATTGGTGGCGCTGTTATCAAATCGATGTGGTGTGTTCTGTGTGAGGTGACAATGGCACACACAAAGTTTGGTGTCAATATGTCAAAGCTTTGCAGAGATACAGCATCAGTCATTTTGGCATCATGCCTCAACTTTGTTTTGCGGCGCTATACAAAAACGATTTCGTCTATCGACACAAAATTCATAACTTTGCCAGAACAGTCTGAAAATGATCTGACTAGATTTTGGTGAAAATCAGACAAACTGTCTAGGAGGAGTTCGAAAAATTATAATTTTGACCAGTAGGTGGCACTGTTACCAGATTGATGTGGCGTAGTCAGTGTGAGGTGACAATGGCACATACAAAATTTATTGTCAATATGTCAAAGCTTTTCAGAGATACAACCTCAGATGCAGTTTGGCATCATTCCAGCAAATTCGTTAATGTGTTAAACGATAACCGTTTTGTATATCGACACGAAATCCATAACTTTTCGAGTGAAAATCAGACCAACGGTTTCATTACAATAGGCTAATTTAATCAAAAGTTAACATTTTTGGAAATTTCATTATAACTTTTGACCACAAGGTGGCGCTGCCCCAAAACTTTGAGTACCATCAGGGCATGGTGCCGAAGACACATACCGAGTTTCGTAAAGATTTGCTAATGCATTCGTAAAATATAGCATTTTTAATAATTAATAATAATAATTTATGCATTTAGATGCATTGTGTGTTTCAAAAAAGCATTTATTGTGGAGGTCCAAATAAGAGATTATATAACAATAACATCAATAATAATAATAAGAAGAAATATAGCTGCAAGTAGCAATTAAGGGGCCAAGCACTACAGAAGCAAGCATCAGACCAACTGCAGCAATGAGTAATTGAAGCCATTTTAAGATGATTTTTGTCAAAATGGCTGAAAAATCATAAATACAACCAATAGTAAAATGATTTAATGGGTTATTACTTTTGACCAATTGGTGGCGCTGTTATCAAATCGATGTGGTGTGTTCTGTGTGAGGTGACAATGGCACACACAAAGTTTGGTGTCAATATGTCAAAGCTTTGCAGAGATACAGCATCAGTCATTTTGGCATCATGCCTCAACTTTGTTTTGCGGCGCTATACAAAAACGATTTCGTCTATCGACACAAAATTCATAACTTTGCCAGAACAGTCTGAAAATGATCTGACTAGATTTTGGTGAAAATCAGACAAACTGTCTAGGAGGAGTTCGAAAAATTATAATTTTGACCAGTAGGTGGCACTGTTACCAGATTGATGTGGCGTAGTCAGTGTGAGGTGACAATGGCACATACAAAATTTATTGTCAATATGTCAAAGCTTTTCAGAGATACAACCTCAGATGCAGTTTGGCATCATTCCAGCAAATTCGTTAATGTGTTAAACGATAACCGTTTTGTATATCGACACGAAATCCATAACTTTTCGAGTGAAAATCAGACCAACGGTTTCATTACAATAGGCTAATTTAATCAAAAGTTAACATTTTTGGAAATTTCATTATAACTTTTGACCACAAGGTGGCGCTGCCCCAAAACTTTGAGTACCATCAGGGCATGGTGCCGAAGACACATACCGAGTTTCGTAAAGATTTGCTAATGCATTCGTAAAATATAGCATTTTTAATAATTAATAATAATAATTTATGCATTTAGCAGACGCTTTTATCCAAAGTGACTTACAGTGCATTCAGGCTACACATTTTTTACCAGTATGTGTGTTCCCTGGGAATTGAACCCACGACCTTTTGCGCTGCTAACGCAATGCTCTACCACTGAGCCACAGGAACATTGAGGAGCATTTTATGACAAAATTCAAAATGGCCAACGCCCAAAATGGCTGACATGGAAAAATTGGGTATGGTTCGACTCGACATGCTGCACCGAATCTAAAGAGGCCAGTTTTGTCTACTTAAAGCATTTTTTTTTTTGGCCAAACCATTCAGAAGTTATAAGCAAAAATAGCCATTTTTCATATCTCCTGACCAGTAGGTGGCGCTGCGCTTAAACTGTGCATGTAGCCTGTGGTCATGGTTATTATAACACACATCAAGTTGGGTCTCACTAAACCATTGCCGATATATAGCCTCACATCCATTTTTGCGTGCTCTTTGTCAAATTTGTTTAAACGTTATTCGAGAACTAACGTTTGACTAATCAACTTGAATTCCATTCCAACTTTTGGTGAAAATCAGACAAACGGTCTAGGACGAGTTCAAAAAAGTAGGTTTTAAAAAACTATAAAAAAAATTGTGAAAAATGTTGACACATAGAATTTAAAATTTTAGTATCCATTTGACTGCATGAGCCAAGGATTCAAAGGAAGAAAAAAAATTTCTGTCTAAACTTTACGGTTCAGAATTTATTAGCATAAGGTGGCGCTAGAGGGATTGAGATAGAGACTCCAAATTTGCTATGGTGACAGATCAGACTGTACTCTATCAGTGTGCCTAATTTCATAACTTTCCCGCAAACGGTTCTATGGAATACCATAGACTTCTAGAGTGGAAGAAGAAGAACGCCAACGATTACAATAGGTGCCTACACGCTAGGGATATGCCGGTATCAAATTCTCATGTTGCGATTAATTGCTAATGCTTTTATCACGGTATACGGTATTATCACGATGTTGAAATTTAGTTTAAAAAAAAGTGCTGTCATAATACAGTATAACAGGTTTAATAACTTTTTTCTTATAACAAAAATAACTGAACATTTAAATGCAATAAAGCAATACAGAAATGTATAAAGTTAAAAGTTTTACACAGATTAAAGTGCAAAAGAACTATAAAGACCAATAGGTATCACTTTACAATAAGACCTCATTAGTTAACCTTAGTTAATGCATTAACACTCACAATGAGCAATAGCTACATTTGCGACAGAAGTTATTAATCTTTGTTTAAAAAAATACAAGTCTTAGTTCATGTTAGCTCATTAAATAACACAGTTACGACTTTCGATTTTAACAACCTATTATTAAATATTGAAATACCTAAGATTAATGAA